GTTGATTGTATCCTTTGTTTTCCAGAAACTTTTTAACTTGATGTGATGCCATCAGTTCATTTTTGCTTTGGTTGCCTATGCTTGCACTGTACAGATCAAGAAATGTTTGCTCAGATCAATATTCTGCAGATTTTCCCCAGTTTCTTATCTTTCTTTTTTTTTTTTTTTTTTGAGTTGGAGTCTTGCTCTGTCGCCCAGGCTGGAGTGTAATGGCGTGATCTTGGCTAACTGCAAGCTCCGCCTCCTGGGTTCACACCATTCTCCTGCCTCAGACACCATTATCCTGCCTCCTCCCAAGTAGCTGGGACTACAGGTGCCCGCCACCACACCCGGCTAATTTTTTGTATTTTTAGTAGAGATGGGGTTTCACCAAGTTAGCCAGGATGGTCTTGACCTCCTGACCCTGTGATCCACCCGTCTGAGCTTCACAAAGTGCTAGGATTACAGGCGTGAGCCACTGCGCCCAGCCCAAAGTTTTCTTTTATTAGTTTCATAGATTGAGATCTTAGATTTAAGTTTTTAATCCATTCCGATTTGCTTTTTATGTGGTAAGAGATAGAGGTCTAGTTTCATTCTTCTGCATATGGATATCCAGTTTTTCCAGCATCATTTCTTGAAGAGATTGTCTTTTCCTCATATGTGTTCTTGGCACATTTGTCAAAAATTAGTTATCCATAGGTGTGTGGATTTGTTTCTGTGTTCTCTGTTCTGTTCCATTGGTCTCTGTGTCTGTTTTTATGCCAGTACTAAGCTGTTTCGGTTATTATAGCTCTGTAGTATAATTGGAAGTTGGTTTTGTTCTTTTTGGTCAGGATAGCCTTGATTATTCTGGGATTTTTTTGTGGTTCCATATCAATTTGAGGCTTTTTAATTTCTATGAAGAATGTCATTGGTATTTTAATAGAGATTGCACTGAATCTGTAGATTGCCTGGGTAGTATAGACATTTTAACATTACTGATTCTTCAAATCCATAAACATGGGACAGTTTTCCATTTTTTGGTGTCCCCTTCAATTTTTTAAATCTGTGTTTTATAGTTTTTATTATAGATAACTTTAACTTTTTTGGTTGATTCCTAGGTATTTGATTTTATGTGTGGCTATTAAAAATAGTATTACTTTTGATTACTATTGATATAGAAAATGCAGTATATCCATACATTAAAATAGTATCAAAAACACTATGAGCAAAAAGAGAAAGCTGAAGAGTCATGCCAGATTAATGGTGACAGGAGAAACGTGACAGTTAAAAACGATTCATAAAAGTGGGCTAAACTGGAGGAAAATCAATTACAAGGACATTAAATTAAAAACAATAAATTTAAACATGGAGTTTAGGTTAAATAACATGTTATCAATATAACCCATTTTCTGATTTTGATCATGAAACTGATTATGAAAGAGAATGTTCTTGTTCTTAGAAAATATACTTAAATTTTAAGGGCTAAGGAAATGCCATCTCTATGGCTTAATTTCCAATGCTTTGGGGAAAAATAAAGATATAGATATGATAAAAGTGTGGAGGGGAAAAAAAGCCCACAACATCTGATAGCTAGCAGTGGCTAGTCCTTGGTGTTTTCATCTCATCATAATTTCTAGAACATTAACAATTATCAAACAGAACCATTCAGTGACAATGGTGGAAAAAGAAATGCAGCCCTTGTGGGAAGCTAGGTCAGGAAAAGAAAAAAAAAGCAGGGAAATACAGTGACTTCTGTTCTTGAGAAAACACAGAAATATTCTCCCATCTCTACTCCCCCATTTCGTCTTACTCCCCCAAACAATGCGGGGAGCAACTCTCTTCATTAAAAAAAAAAAAAGGGTCAGACACTGTTCCGCTCTCTACAGGAATCAAAGAGAAAGGCCAAGTCAAATACACATGGACCTCTGACGCAATGTCACGTTCACAGAGTTCAGGAAACTAAGCAGTTCCCAGGAAATTAAAGAGACAACCACTTACCACATCCCAAGGACTGCTTTAGGAAAAAAAAAATTTTTTTGTACTTTCTCTTTTAATTCTCAAACCACCTTATTAGGAAGGCACTACTATCATTCCACTATGCGGTTTCACTCCTCCTCACAGAAAACCAAAAACAAATATACAGTACTGAGATTATCACCAGCAATATCCCAGAGCTCAAATATAACAAGGAGACAGTTCCTAGGGCCACGGAGAAGTGAAAACACTCTGAGTAGATGGTAGGAGAATTGAAAAAGTCAGAGGAACAGAGTTTAAGCAACACACGCGGGAGGCCCTAACACCAGGGAATGGACGACCTTGCCTCGACCCAAACGCTCAGAGGTTCAGTTAAGGGGAACGCCTCCCAAGGCCCCTGACTCTTTTCCCCCAAATTGATGGCTGTGCCCTACCGGAAAACCTCGGAAGAGTAGAAAAAGCTGTACCAACACACCACAATAAGGGAAAAATTGGCTGCAACCTCCCCTCCAGGAGTGGAAGTTCATAAGACTCCAAGTAGTGTGCGCACTACACTTCCCAGAACTCCCCTGCCCTAGCCACCTGAGCGGAAGTGCCCCGCGCCGGGGAACTTGTGGAAACTTCCTGGAAAGCCAAGGGAGAGCCCCTCCCACTGTCTCGCTGTCTTGGGTGGAGATGTTTAAGACCCCTCCGCGCTCTTGGACTACCGTCTCCAACATCCCCCTGAATAGCAAAGTTCACGTTCCCGACTTCAGGAGTGGTAATGTGAATTCCTACCCTGAGATCCTGAATTACCCTCTGCTACGTTCTGTAGGTAAAATAGTCCACAGACAAAATAGTCCACAGGCAAAACTCCTGGAAGACTAAACGTGTCCAATTATTACAGTATTGTTGAAAGAGTAAACCTTGAGCCGAGAAAGAAAATCTTGGAGGAATGAAAGGGGAATTTCCTTGTTGTGAAATGTCCACGTCAGCTTTGCTCATAATAGCAAAAAATTGAAAGCATTCCAAATGTTTATCAAGAAATAAATGGATTAATAAGTTGTGACATATCCATATCATTGAAGAGTACTCAACAGTAAGAACAAGTAGTACAACCCGAATGAATTTCAAAAACATGCTGTGTCGGCTGGGTGCAGTGGCTCACGCCTGTAATCCCAGCACTTTGGGAAGCTGAGGAGGGCAGATCACAAGGTCAGGAGATTGAGACCATCCTAGCTAACACTGTGAAACCCCGTCTCTACTAAAAATACAAAAAAAAAAAAAAAAAAAAAAAAATAGCTAGATGTGATAGAGGGCGCCTGTAGTCCCAATTACTTGGGAAGCTGAGGCAGGAGAATGGCGTGAACCCGGGAGGCAGAGCTTGCAGTGAGCCGAGATCGTGCCATTGCACTCCAGCCTGGGTGACAGAGTGAGAGGCCAACTCAAAAAAAAAAAATGCTGTGTCAAAAAAGCTTGACACATCAGAGTACATGTTGTGTGATTTCATTTGCATGAGATTCTTTGGCAGGAAAACAACTAATTTTTCATAACAGAAAGCAGATTAATGCTTGGGGCTGGGGACATGACAGAACAATCATAGCAGGGCAAACGAGAACTTTTTGGTGTGTGATGCAAATATCTATATCTTGAGTGTGGTGGCTTTACACAAATGTACACGTTCATTGAATGTATTGAACTTTATTATTTAAAATGGGTATGTTTTAAGATAAACTATACTTAATAAAGTGGATTTTAAGATATTAGCAGTACCACTATCTCTAGTAGTAATAATGTTAGAGGAAATTGAGTTTGTCAAATGTCCAATGACATCCAAAGATTAAGTAAGGTTATTTTCTCGAATCTGAATTTAAGTAACATATTTAAATCTCATATAGACACACTTATAGGAGAAACATGTTCAGGGTAGTTGTCTTTAGATTTGCATTATTTGGGAAAGGAGCAGCCTTTGCTCACACGTGCACTAATAAAAGGCCACAAGTTTAGGATTATGAGAGAGGCCTGAATTCTGCTAAGATGTAGGGATAAATGATTACCAATCATTATTCTGGAGGTCACAAATTTGCAACTTCCCCAGTTATCCTTATAAATAACATCGCTATTGCAGAACCTAAGACTGGCCTTTTGCTATATCTTTTCAGGCTTTTGCATTTTTGATGACCAGATGACCCCACCCAGACCCACAATTCTTGACTCTACCAGTCATGTGGCATCCACCCAAAAGAGGTCCACATCCCTGTGATTGCATCCCCAACCAATTGCATCCCCAACCAATCAGCAGCACCCATTCCCTAGCCCCCTGACCACCAAACTATCTTTTAAAAACCCCACCCTCCAAATTTTTAGGGAGGCTGACTTCAGTAACAGTAAAGCTTCTGTCAATGGAAAGACTGAAACTTTGTAAAATATCTGAAGAGATTATTTTGAGCCAAACGCAAGCGTCCATGGCCCAGGACATAGCCCTCAGAGGACCCTGAGAACATATGCCCAAAGTGGTCAGGCCACAGCTAGCATTTATAAACTGTCATGGCGCTGGTGGGAGTGTCTTATACGGATAGCTAGCAAAGAGAACTTACAGGTTGCTTTCTATCACTTGCCAGTTTCAGCAGGTTTCTTATCTGGTCTTGGAATCACACCCTGCTGGTCCCCTGTCTCAGCCCAAATGGAACATTGTTCAAATGTTTACATCTACTCCTATGTAGTCAACTTCTATTTTTTGTTTTTTACCCTTCCATAATAAAGTTAGAAAAATATTTAGTTTCTACCTAGGAGAAAAGTGAATAGTATAGCTTTCTGTATTTTTTGCATTTCATGTCTTAATCCCTCACTTCACCTCCCTCTCCTTAGTGAATATACATAGACACTTTGGCAAATCATAGGACACCTTTACAGATCCTGATTTTGAGAGCAAGAAGTGATGTGATTCCTTAATCTGATTTTTTTCAAGATTTTATATAGGGTAGACCCTATTCAATACTATATACTTTCTTCAGTATCCTGAGAATGAAAGACAACTAAGTGCAAGAAAAGTGGAAAATTTTGCTGCTTTTGTTTCATGTCCTGCTGGACGATTGCATCTCCTTTTTTGAGCATTTTTAATAACAGATGAATCCAGACCCATATAATAAAAAGGCTTGTTGCTCAGGGCGGCTCTGGCCACCTCTTTTATTAGCTCTGTTTTTAGCTCACACATAGCATTCCTTTGCAATTTCCTTTTTTTCATATTTGCAACTTCTGTCACGTATAAAAGGGAACAATGGCAAAAGGAAAACGCAAGCTGAGCTCTACAAGCAGTGACTTAGATTCCACCTGCTAATGCAAAAGGAAAATTGCAGGCTGGCGGGAAGCTCAGCCCTACAGAGGATTCTGGGATGTGTAGTCTAGACTTTTGGGGGCACTTCCGCTCTGGGAAAGCGTGGCTTTGTTATTTGCTCTACTGGGGAAATAGGAACCCATAACCCAGTGCTCAGTGGGTTCGGTGGTACTTCGGCTACTTGAGGACGAGAACACGAAGCCTGCTCCCCTCGGGGATTCTGGGAAATACGATTCGGCCGTGGGAGTTGAAGCCGGCACTTCCGCCTAGAGGGGCGGGGCAGCGGCTGCCGTTCCTCCCGGGGATGCTGGGAAGTGTAGTTCCAGAGCTCCCTGCCGTCCCAGGCACTTCCGCTGCAAGAGGTTGAGAGCGCGGCCTTCATTCCGCTCGTGGAGGTGAGTGAGCCTTGGGATCCCGCGACCTGTTTTAACTTTTATGGCTTGGTCGTAGGATCAGCGGGGCTCGCTCTTCGGTCAGCAGGAAAAGACGCTGCGGCGAGCAGCGGAGGGCGGAGTTGAATGGCAGGGCAGCTGATTGCCTTACTCTATCCGGAGCCGCTGCGTTCGGGGCGGTTCGAGAGTCCCCAGATTGGGAGTGGACCTGGATGGGGCGGCGTCTGAGGGTCTCCTGGACTCTCAGCGGCCCGACCCGCCTGCCCTCACCTCCCACAGCTCTGTCGCTTCCTAGCGGTATAACGTTGGGTGGGAACTTAATCTTTTGGTGCTTAGTTTCTGGTCTTAGTTTCCTCTTCTGCAAAACGGAATATTAACCTTATGTATCTGTTTTGACAATTAGTAATATAGTACAAGTAAAATGTGTATAGAATAGTACAGGAATATGGCAACATGTTGGCTATTAATATTAAAACTATGGTAATAACCTTAAAAATATTCATTTTTCAGCAAGCGCCTGGCTTTCCTTTCTGATTCCTGCAGGAGAGGAGGCTGTTCCTGGACTATTTCTGACCTGTTTTTTAAGAAAGAGTGCATCACTCAACAGGTGGCATCTGGAGTTATCCTCTGTGGATTTTCCAGGATCTCAGACAAGATCGTGCAATCTCCCAGCCTCCTTTCCTTCCCCTGCTCTGGCTTCTGAAAGAATGCTGCGGAGAGGAGGAAAGAGAGCATCCTGGCTCCTAGCAGCAGAGCCCCACTGTGACAGGACCTAGCATTCACCTTTCTCTTCTGTTCCGAGTGGAAGAAGGTATTTCATTCATTGCAAATGTTTCTGCTACAGAAGTGTCCCGTTATTGAGTAATTGGGGAAAATGTGACATGGATATCAGTCACACTAAACATTGGGTGCTATCACTCTGAGGGCTTTATAAAAACTAACACACTGAACCTTCACAAAGGCTTTGTGTTGTGGGTTCTGTTCACCTTACAAAGGTGATGTGGGTACTGTTGTTACACCAATTTTGCAGACGAGGAAATGGAGAGAGCCTAATTTACTTTCCTATGTCACAGTGCTAGTAAGAACAGTGGGATTTGTGTCCTAGAATTGGGTTCCTTACATCTGAATACCCTTGGTCCCACAGTTTGAAATCCCAATTTAGAATTAGGAAATAAAATAAACAATCCATATAAATAAGCATAGGAAACTGGCTACAGAGGAGCCATTTGAGATCAAGTTGGGGACGGAGGTTGGAATTTTACTGTAGAAGATTTTGAAAGAAAGGTTGAGTTTGGACTTCTTTATAAAATTTTGAAAGAATTCTCATTTAATTTAATTTTAAGCAATATTAGTAGTTCATATTATAATCATAGAGATGCATGTTCTCTGTACAGGATGCAGAAAATACAGAAATATAAAATATTACCAATTTTCTTAATGCTAGGATATAGATTATTATCAACATTTTAATGCATTTCTGTTTGGCAGTTTTTAATGTGTTTTTGTCTGTTTTATGAAATTGTTATCACACTATTCATAGTGGGTTGTTACTCCCTTATTTTCGACTATGGAAATATCCAAACATACCCAAATATAATGAACTCTTACATACAGTCACCCTGCTTCCATCCTTGCTAATCTTATTGCCTCTCCCACCAACTTTTTTTTTCCCTTGAGTATTTCAAAACAAACCCAGATGTTCAGTCAGTAAGGCTTAAAAACTAATAATTATCATTCATTGTGTTTTGTGTGTTTTGCTTTTTTTGAGATGGAGTCTTGCTCCATTGCCCAGGCTGGAGTGCAATGGCGTGATCTCGGCTCACTGCAACCGCTGCCTCCTGGGTTCAAGCAATTCTCCTGCCTCTGGGATTACAGATGCCCGCCACCACGCCCGGCTAATTTTTGTATTTTAGTAGAGACTGGGTTTCTCCATGTTGGCCAGGCTGGTCTCAAACTTGACCTCAAGTGATCCACCCACCTCAGCCTCCCAAAGTGTTGGGATTCCAGGTGTGAGCCACCATGCCGGGCCTCATTAATTGTTTATATATGAAGGCCAAGGGAGGGGAGATTCTATTCATTTGCCAGGGCTGCCATAAGAAAATACTAAAAATTGGTTGGATTATACAGAAATGTATTTGTTACAGTTCTGGCGGCTAGAAGTCCAAGATCAAGGTGTCGCCAGTTTTGGTATCTTATAAGGCCTCTCCCCTCTGTGTGCTTGAGCTCCCTTGCTGTATGTCAACTTCATCACCTCTTTAAAGACCCTATTTCCAAAGACAGTTATTTTCTGAGATACTGATCATTAGGACTTTAACATTTTGAGAGAGGCACACACAATTCAGCCCATAATAGATATTAGCAGCAACTCTAAGGTTTTTGACTCCTGGCAGCTAGGAGAATGCTACTTATGTGAGAAAGCTAGAAAGAGTTGCAATTTAGGAAAAGGAAGAAGATTGATTTTCTTTGCTTTTTTGGAGTTGCACTTGCCACTGGCATATAACTCTTGGTTTCTTATCTCTCTCCCATTAGACTTCAGGGACCTCTGTTTCATGGACATTATCATATTCTCAGAGTACCCAGCAAGAGGTTTGCAAAGAGGAGTTATTCAGTGAGTAAGTGTGATTCATGTAGCTCTCCAACAGGCATCTGGATTTTGGGTGCTACAGCTTGCAATTAGAGAACAAAATAGAAAGATTACCCATAGTCCTTGTCCATTATCTCACGTTTGATGGGCTGTAGAATCCATCAACTTTTTCAGAGTATTCAAAAGTTGAGTACAATTGTGGATAATATTGTACAATTGTGGATAATATCTAAAACAAACTGCCTTAAAGACAAATCAAACCACTGTTAAGGTACAGTCTTTTTTGTTTTTGAGACAAAGTCTTGCTCTGTCGCCGAGGCTGGAGTGCAGTGGTGTGATCTTGGCTCACTGCAACCTCCACCTCCCAGGTTTGAGCGATTCTCCTGTCTCAGCCTCCCCAGTAGCTGGGATTACAGGTGTGCACCACCATGCCCAACTAATTTTTGTATTTTTAGTAGAGACGGGGTTTTGGCATGTTGGTCAGGTTAGTCTCGAACTCCTGACCTCAAGTGATCTGCCCGCCTCTTCCTCTCAAAGTGCTGGGATTATAGGCATGAACCACCATGCCTGGCCAGGTTTAATATTTATCACATGGAGATTATGGTAAGGACTGCTGACATTTGTTGGGTGTTTCTTATGACTTGGAGAATTTCTAGTGGTTTCCATGCACTAGCTTATTTGTTTTTTATGACAGTTCTATTTTATTCTGATTTTAAAGATGAAGAGCAAACACAGACAAGTTAACTATACAGATGACCCGGTGGCATAGTCAGCGGGGCAGAACCAGAATCAAACTTCAGTAGCAAGTCGGAACACTCAGTAACTGAATAACCTTGGGCAAGTTACTTGAACTTTCTGTGCCTCAGTTTTCTTACCCATTAAGTAGGGATGATATTAATAACTACCTCGTAAAGTTTCTGTGAACAGATATGTAACAATGTTTGAAGTAGCGCCTCGCATGTAGTAAGTCCTCTGTGTATTATAGACTAAAGCTGGCCTTCATCTTCTACAGATAAATTGAAAAATGCAACAAGTTATTGAAGGAGCAAAGGGGTGTGTGTGTGTGTATATATATATATATTTTTTTGCTTTGTTTTGTTTTGAGACAGAGTCTCGCTCTGTCATCCAGGCTGGAGCGCAGTGGCACAATCTCGGCTCACTGCAACCTCCGCCTCCAGGGTTCAACCAGTTCTCTGCCTCAGCCTCCCGAGTACCTGGCATTACAGGTGTCCGCCACCATGCCTGGCTAATTTTTTTGTATTTTTAGTAGAGATGGGGTTTCACCATCTTGGCCAGGCTGGTCTTGAACTCCTGACCTCGTGATCCACCTGCCTGGGCCTCCCAAAGTGCTGGGATTACACGCGTGAGCCACCACACCCGGCCTCAAAGGTATATTTTTAAGTATTCTTTTCTTCCCCACTTTCTGCTTTTTCTATGGATGCTTTAATTCTGTTATATATTTAAACAAATGTGTATAGTTTCTATGATAGTAATTGCTGAAACCTATAACGAAGTCTAATTTGCTGTCTTTTGAACTTAGCGAGTCCCTGTGGGATGATTCTATGGTCTATATTGCCTTAATAAAAAGGTCTACGCCTGCACTATCCAATAGTGTAGCCATTAGCTACATATTATTATTGGCACCTGAAACATGACTAGTCTGAATTGAGATATGTTATAATCGTAAGGCACAACAGATTTCAAAGACCTACTATGAAAAAAAGAATGTAAAATCCCTCAGTAATTCTTATACTGATTACAAGTTGAGGGGATAATATTTTGGATATGTTGGGTTAAAGAAAATATATTGTTGAAATTAAGCTCACTTGCTTCATTTTACCTTTTTAAATGTAGCTATGAGAAAAATTTAAATTACACAAATAGCTTGCCTGCATTATATTTCTCTTGGACAGCACTGGTCCAAGAGAAAGGGAAGCCTCCCCTTTCACTCTGAGAATTTGCCTCCAGAAGCATTACCAGTCATTCTGCAGCTCTTTCCTCTTAGAGAGAGCTCGAGGGGCATCTTATACTGGAGAGAAGCAGGGAGCTGATAATCAGTAGGCCTGAGTGCCAGGCAGAGCCATGCCCCCAGCTTCCCGGGTGCCCGTGGACAGTTCCGTCAACTCTTTAAGAGGCAATGTAGAATAATGGCAGTGGTTCTTGAACTGTGGTCACATCAAAATCACAAGACCCAGGCCCTAGACTCCTTCTGTGAGCTTGAACCTCTGTGTTCTTTATTAGTAATTCAGGTGTTCTGGTCACCTATTCACCCCATTGGTAAAGGAGGGATTCCCCACCTGCTACTGTCTAAGAGTCCCCCAGACATTGAAACTTAATCCCCATTGTGGTATTATTAAGAGGTGAGGCCTTTGGGAAATGATTAAGTCATGAGGGCATGAAGGAGTTAATGCCCTTATAAAAGAGGCTTCAGAGAGAGAGTTCACCTCCCTTGTTCTTCTGCTATGTGAAGACACAGCATTCCCCCGTCCCCCTTTTCCCCTACCCTTTTGCCACGTGAGAACACAGCAAAAAGGCCCTCACTGGACCCACAACCTGCTGGAGCCTTGATCTTAGACTTCCCATCCTTCAGAACTTTTAAGTTTAGGAGTACACATGCAGGTTTGTTATATAGGTAAACTTGTGACATGGGGGTTTGTTGTACAGATTATTTTGTCACTAGTGCCCATTAGTTATTTTTTCTGATCCTCCACGCTCTGATGGAGACCCCAGCATCTGTTGTTCCCCTCTATGTGTCCATGTGTTCTCATCATTTAGCTCCCACTTATGAGTGAGAACATGTGGTATTTGGTTTTCTGTTACTGTGTTAGTTTACTAAGAATAATGTCCTCCAGCTCCATCCATCTTCCTGCAAAGGACATTTTTTTTTTTTTTTTTTTTTTTTTTTTTTGAGACAGTTTTGCTCTTGTTGCCCAGGCTGGAGTGCAATGGTGCCATCTCAGCTCACCACAACCTCGACCTCCCAGGTTCAAGCGATTCTCCTGCCTCATCCTCCTGAGTAGCTGGGATTACAGGCATTCACCACCTTGCCTGGTTAATTTTGTTTTTTTTTTTTTTCAGTAGAGACAGGGTTTCTCCATGTTGGTCAGGCTGGTCTCATACTCCTAACCTCAGGTGATCCACCTGCCTCAGTCTCCCAAAGTGCTGGGATTACAGGTGTGAGCCACTGCACCCAGTCAGGATATCTTTTTTATGGCTGCATAGTATTCCATGGTATATATGCACCACATTTCCTTTATCTAGACTGCTGTTGACGGGCATTTAGGTTGATTCCATGTCTTTGCTAAATACCAGACCTATGGCTTTTTAACAAAAAAAAAAATTTCTGTGTTCTTCAGGGCTGAATTACATGCCTTCAGTTATCAGATATCTACATGGCTTTCTCTTCCTATATTTGAGGTCTCTGCTCAAATATAAGAGAAATCTTTCATGACAAAAACTTGTTCTGTGACAGCCCCTCCTTTCATCTCTTTTTATTTCTTTACCCTGCCTTCTTGTTCTTAAAAGTGTCTCTCACTATATATTGGGGGTTTGTTATGCCCTCGTGGCCCATTATAATATCAGCTTTGTGAGATCAAGGTCTTTGTTCACTGCTGTATATTTCACATCTAGGACCCTTGGCTGGCACAGAGTAGACCCTTCAACAATTATATGTGGAATGAATGGTTCAGGTGATAAATAATGAGGCCTTGATCCACATGGTGTATCTATCAACTATTCACTACATCATTAAAGTAGCCATTGTGCAAATCTTTGAGTTCCTTCCAAATGCTTGTAGCAATATAGTAGGTGTTGGGGATGGAGCAGGAAACGAAACTCCCCATTAGACAGGTGTAATGCATATAAGTAAGTAAATATCTAGAAGGATGTTAGAGAGGAATAAGGGCTTAGAGAAAAGAATTAAGCAGAGATGAGGGATAGGAAGTGTTGGGGTGCAGTTAGGAGACCGAAATTATCTACAGGATGGCTAGAGACTCTGAGGTGGTGACATTTGAATAAAGAAGGAAGAGGTTCTTAGTGTGGCTCTTCTAATAGTCTCTCCGGCCCTAGCCTCCTCCCCATCAAGCCTCCTCCTGTCTGAGAGAGTAATCTGTTTCTAACACTCCTTTCCGGAAGTTCTTCAGTGCTCTCCTGCTGACTTGCAGATAATATTGTGACTTGAACATCATCATGGTTTGAATTCTGCCTTCCTGTCCCATCTCTTTCTGCCTATTATTTGTCTTCACATCATGACATTTGTTCTCTGGGAGTTTTATAGTGATTTGGATTCTCTGGCTAATACAGCTCAGTCATCCTCCAGGGCTCAGATTAAGCCACGTTTGCGTAGAACCCCCTGCATTCCAGTGTGGGCTTAGGAGCCCATTCCTCATGCTGCCAGAGGATGCTGTGCACTACTCTGGCATTTAGCCATGTGTAGTGGAATTGCCAGTTTCCTCATCACTAGACTGTGAGCATCTTGAGGCTAGAGAATTGCATCTCTTTTAGTAAGGTTCCCACAAGTCTTCATTGAGTTAATAAACTCATCTATTTAATGAAGTAGTAATAAATTCACCTGCCTAGTGCTAATTATGCAGGCAGTAAAACAGTGTTCGTTCTCAGTATTTTAAGGGACATATTCTGTAGGTTCCGTAACAGTGACTCATGCTGCATTGACTTTGAAGAGCAGAGAGTACTGTCCTAAGATGTATTTAACAAAATCCAGAGATGCTTTTCCTTCCAAAAATGACTTTGATCTTGCCCAAGGACAGCAAATATTGTGAAAGACCTAGAGGAAAAACTTGGAAATAAAATCTCTGCTCTCCAAATCCTCCCAACTGGAGTCAGTCTCAGAATTATACAACTCAGAGAGACCTTAGACCAACTAGTCTAGTCTTCCTATGTGCATCTCCATGTCTGATGGTGGGTTCATTCATTCTTTCAGTCATTTCTGCTGGGCAATTACTTTGTACAGGAACTGTTTTAGGTACTTGGGATATAAAGCTGAATAAGCATTCATCACAAGACAGATGGTTGATGTGCTATTATCACTTTTTTCCCCAAGGCAATGGAAATATGCCCCCTGCAAAACATTCTTATTGAGAAGAGGTTGCTGGGCAAATAATAGAGTTAGAACAAAGTGAATTACAAATTCTAAAAGTATTTCAGGCTGGGTGTGGTGGCTCACACCTATAATCCCAGCACTTTGGGAGGCCAAGGTGGGTAGATCACTTGAGGTCAGGAGTTCGAGACCAGCCTAGCCAAAATGGGGAAACCTCATCTCTACTAAAGAAACAAAAGAAACAAAAAAAATTAGCCAAGAATGGTGGTGGGTGCCTGTAATCCCAGCTATTGGGGAGGCTGAGGCAGGATAATCTTTTGAACCAGAAGGCTGAGGTTGCAGTGAGCCAAGATCATTCCACTGAACTCCAGACTGGGCCACAATGTGAGACTCCATTTCAGAAAAATAAATAAATATTTCTTCTAAGATTGGAAGGTTTTATGTTTCCCGTTTCCGTAGTAAGGGTTCTTCTATCTGAACTGAGAGAACTAAGAATAATTTACTAATAAATGAAACAGTAATTAACTAATACTAAACTTTTAATCTGGGTATTTTACTCTGTTTCCACCCTCCATAGAATCAGAATCATACCCTGAGAGCTACAAGGAGAACTCCATTTTTCACTGTGCAGGGGCTCTCTCCTGAAGGGTCAAGTGGAATCTGGAATCCAGCCCATGCTTCCCCATCATCAAGCCATGTGAAGCTGCAGACTCCCTGAGTGTCTTAGTCCGTTTGTGCTGCTATAACAAAATATACCATAGACTGGGTGGCTTAAACAGCAAACCTTTATAACTCACAGTCCTGGAGATGGGGAAGTCCATGATCAAGTCACTGGCAAATCCAGTGTCTAATGAGGCCACTCTTAGTGGTTTGCAGAAGCTATTGTCTTGTATCTTCCTGCGGGGAAGAGAGAAGGAGCTAGGTTACTTGCTTTTCTTACAAGGACAGCAATCCCATTATGGAGGCTTCACCCTCATGACCTAATTACCTCCTAAAGGCCCCACCTCCCAATAACATCACATTAGGGCTTCAACATAAGAATTTTGAGGGGACACAGACGTTGGTCCACAGCAGCAAGGGAGGGGCTCCTTGACTGTTTCATGTAAAGCAGCTGCATGGGTTTATGCATAACTTCTATTGATTGTTTAAGCTGCCAGAAACTGTTCCACGTGTTTTATGTATACTTAGTCACTTTCACTGATCTTCCTATGAGGTAGTTATTATTATTATATCCAATTTATAGATTAGACATTAGAGCACAAAGTACTAGCAAGTTGGAGATGCCCATATTCCAGTACTGGTGGGCTGGTTCTGGAGTCTAGACTGTTCACAACTCTGTTCTCTACTCCCTTAAGCAGCTCCCTTGGCTTCAGAGTCCAATCTCCATTTCTCTGCCTTTTACCCCTAACTCTGGAGCCCTCATTTCTCCTTCCATGAAACCTTAGATTCCTATCTGCTTATTTTTGTCTTTAGAAGCAACAGAGAGACAAGATTTGGAATAGTGGCTCTTGTATGAAAGCCAGATTCAGGTACTGTTCCTGCCTCTTGACCTCACCGAGCCTCAGCTTCCTCGCCTGTTAAATGGATACAATTGCCATCATCATATTTGTTGAGAACTCCCTAAAATGCCAGGTATTATGCCAAGGGCATTGCATAAATTCACTCATTGATTCCTCACAGTAATCCTATGATTAACATCCTGTTTTCATTTCCTTTCTTTTAGCTGAGCATAGGCACAGAGGTTTGGGTGGTTGGACCAAGGTCACACAACTGATGCAACAGTAGGTTCTTCACAGGTATGTGTGAAGTACCTTAATGAAACATCATGGACCAGCTTCTTCATATGTTAAACATCACCATTTTTGTTGTTATTACTGTACTTACTGTAGCTTGTTAATTTCAGTGACATTGATTATCTAATTTATAGCTGCATAAATCTTGCAGAGTCACGATTTTTTATTCAATTTCCTCTGTCTCTGTGATAATCTTTTTAAGGCCGTACTGTTAAAGTAAATTTTGCAAGGTCTTTTTTTTTTAGATTTTGTCTTTCTCTTTAGAGATAGAGTCTCGCTCTGTTGGCCAGGTTGGTCTTGAACTCTTGGCCTCAAGCAATTCTCCCACCTTGGACACAGAGTGCTAGGATTACAGGCATAAGCCACCATGCACAGCCAAATTTTTCAGGGTCTTATACCTTTTAGAAACCAGTCCATATAGTCAAATTCATAGAGAGAACGTGGTTATCAGGGGCTGGGAGGGGGAATGGGGAATTATTACTTAATGGGTACAGAAAAAATTCTGATGATGGATGGTGGTGATGGTTGCACAACAATGTAAATGTACTTACCGAACGTAACCACTTAAATGGTTAAAATGGTAAATTTTATGCTACGTATTTTACTATCAAAAAAGCAGTCATCTATGTACAGTAGTCCCCCCTTATCCACAGCAAATACCTTCCAAGAGCCCCAGTGAATGACTTAAACCTCGGATATTACCGAAGCCTCAATATACTATGTTTTTCCTTTACCTACATACTTATGATAAAGCTTAATTTATAAATTAGGCACAGTAAGAGACTAACAATAACTCAAAATAGAATAATGATAAAATACTGTAACAAAAGTTCTATCAACATGGTCTCTCTGTCTCTCAAAATATCTTACTGCACTCTACTCACCTATTTTTGGACCATAGTTGACTTCAGGTAACTGAAACCACAGAAAGCAAAACTATGGATAGGAAGGACCTCTGTAATCTTAAGTATTATTGCAAAAGCCTCAAATTAAGTGTGGGAAACCAAGAGAGAATAACAGGTATTTCAGAGGTTAAAGGCAAGGTTAAAGCACAAACCTCTACTAAAAAATTCATTGGCTGAGTGTGGTGGCTCAGACCTGTAATCCCAGCACTTTGGGAGGCTGAGGCAGGAGGATCACTTGAGCTCAGGAGTTCGAGACCGGCTCGGGCAACATAGCAAGACCTCGTCTCTACAAAAAGTCAAAAAATTAGCTGGACATGGTGGTGCACACCTGTGGTCCTAGCTACTTGGGAGGCTGAGGTGGGAGGATCGCTTGAGCCCAGGTATGAGTTCATGATTGTGCCGCTGCACTCCAACCTGCGCAGCAGAGCAAGACCCTGTCTCCAAAAAAAATATATATATATATTGGTAGAAACCATTAATGAGGACAGGTTTTATGTTACTGAATGTTATATGCTTTTCTGCAGCTAAGAAGTAAGGTACTCTGAAAATGTTCTTTGAGCTTTTCCCCTCATTTAATTCGTAAACAATCCTATGAGGTTAATTCTCTCATTGTTAATCTCTTCATTTTATGGCGTGAAAGAACTGAGGCACAGAGATATTAATAATTTGTCCAGGATTTCATAGCAAATAACAATGCCATAAATCTAGGCACTTGGCCCCAGAGGTTACTCTTAATCTGAGCATTTTACTCTCAATTTCTACTCCCCCTAGAATCAGTCATACCCTGAGAGCCACAAGGAGATACTATGTTAGGGGCACACTGTGTGTGGTCAGGCAGGTCACTCGCTTGCCAGAGTCTTACAGTCAGAGGGACAAGTAGTATCTGGAATCCAGCCTAGTCTCTGTTCATCAAGCCAGCCTGAGGAAGGAACACTGTTGCTATTTCATGTTTAAAAAACAGCTATGTGGGTTAGTGACATCCTTGGCCAAACTCTCATGGCTTTTTTCTCCTTCCCCCTTGTTTTCTCCTTCCCTCTTAAGACTTGGCACTTCTCCAGAAGGAGGAGGACAAAATGACGAAGTCTAAGGTGAGTTGGACCTCCCTTTCTCCATAAAAATTGTCATCTCATTTCTGAAAGATTACACACACCTTATTCTTTTTGTTAGGAAGATGAAGGAGAACAGTAGACATTTAAGAACCTCTTGTGTGCCAGATGCTTGCTGCTTTTTACTTTTGTGTTAATTTTTCTTGCTTCACTTTATGACTTTATGATTTGATAAATAAGCATAGAAAAGTCAGTAACAGAATAAAAATCTCTCATTTTCCTACTATTTCCCTTACAAAACAACTGTTTTGATTTTCCATGTTATTTTCCTCAGATGTATTCTGTGTATTTGTAAGCATTGTATAGATAAAATGTTCAAGTTACACCTTTTCTAATTAATATTATTTGCCGCATATTTTTATAGTCCCTTGAATTGATGTTACTCTGTGGTGTGTGTGTGAAATAACTTTTCTCCTCATTCATCAACATTTAGGTAGTTTAGAATTTTTACTGAAAACGGTTACTACAGTTTTCCCACAAATAACCATTTTTTTCCAAAAAGCAATTTGAAGGAGTTTTGCTATTATTTACTTTTAATGTTATAGAAACACTATATTGAAAAAGTACTTTTGATATGTGGTACTTTGGGTATTTCGTATATCAATGATTCAAATATGACATCGTGCAACATGATATCTCTGATCAGAGAAAACATTATTAGGTATTTCCATGTAAGAAAGCTAGATTTTTCTTACCCAGGCCTGAGTTGTACCCTATGTATGTTTATTTACTGATCTGTATTGTTTTACTCTTATGTTAACTTATTTTATTCAAGTAATAATGTACTTAATTTTAGAAGTCCAGTAGTACAAGAGGACTTACCAGATACTTTTCTTACTGTATTTATTCCTCACACCAACTTTATGAGGCAGTACTTGGTCTCATGCGCATTTTAATTACAAAGAAACAAGATTGTAGAATTGTGGAAAGTTGCTTAGTTTCACTTAGGATACCAGAGATCCAACTGATTTCAAAAGACTCCAGGATTTTTACTTAATTGAAGAGAGAGAGGCAAAGGAAAAGAATTCTTCACTCAGAGGACCTGGCCCTTTTTGTGTGGGTGCCTAGCTTGTCCTGGTTAGTGGAAGATGCCTCAGATAATACCACCTCTACTTGATTCTCTCTCCAGTGGCCTCTTCTTCTCTATGATCACTGTCATTCATTTAGGGCACCTGAATGTGCAGGGCTCCAGGGATGAACAGCGTTCATATGATTAAAACAATATGATATGCTGGCTGGGCGCCATGGCTTATACCTGTAATTCCAGCAATTTGTGAGGCTGAGGCAGGTGGATCACTTGAGGTCAGGAGTTCGAGACCAGCCTGGCCGAACATGGCAAAACCCTATCTGTACTAAAAATACAAAAATTATCCTGGCATGGTGGTGCATGCCTGTAATCCTAGCTTCTTGGGAGGCTGAGGCACGAGAATCACTTGAACCCAGGAGGCGGAGATTGCAGTGAGCTAAGATCATACCACTGCACTCCAGCCTGGGGAAGAGACAAGGCTCTGTCTCAAACAAACAAACAAACAAACAAACTATACGATATGCTAGTGATTCTTTATCATGGGTGATTTTACCACCCCGCCCCCCACTCCCCGGCAATATCTGGAAACATTTTTGGTACCACAGGTCAGGGGTGCTACCAGCATCTAGTAGGTAGAAGCTAAGGATGCTGCAAAACACCATACAGTGCCCTAGACACCCCCACACAGCAGACAGCTATTCCGCCTGAAATAGCAATAGTGCTGAGTTTGAGAAACCCTCCTCTACACAAAGCTATACGACACCAGCAAAATGTAGGTGAACAACAACGTATATGCTAAAAAAAAAAAAGACTTAAAATCATCACTAGAAATTTTACAGAGTTGTAAGATAAAACTCTAAATGGAATATCAATAAAAGGACAGTAACAGACGAGATACCAAAGAAAAATAAAGATGTCCAGTAAATATATGAAAATATGATCTTACTAATTAAGTACACACCAAAAAACCAAGTTGTTTCTTACTGAACAGATTGCCTAGGATTTTGAAAAAGTCAGTTATATTCAATGTTATATATGGTATGGAGAATCAATGATATTTACTTTCTCTTGGGGATAGGATAAGATAGGGAAAAATTGAAAAGAAGATCTGTCGTACATCATAATTTGGAAGTTGCATATTCTCTGACATTGTGATTTTTCACTTCTTGGAACTTACCTAAGAAAATAGGTGGGTAATATCTATGTAAAAAGTTGTTCTTTACAGCATTTATTATAAAAAGGAAAAATCTCTAAAATATAATACACTTCATATGGAATGTTTAACTATATGATAGTAAAGTTGAGTATGGTCTCTTAAGAATCTGGCACCTTTCCCTACACATCTTTTTCACATTTCTCAGTGCTATCTGTCTTCCAGTGGACCTATATTGCAAGATTTAGGTGGAGTGTGTTTGATGTTGTAGGAGCCAGTGACATTCAAGGACGTGGCTGTGGTCTTCTCTGAGGAGGAGCTGCGACTGCTGAACCTTGCCCAGAGGAAGTTGTACCGAGATGTGATGCTGGAGAACTTCAGGAATGTGGTCTCAGTGGGTGAGGACAGGCATTCTCTGACTGAACATTGTCTCCCTCCGGTGTCTCTCTGTCCTTGGGTATACAGGGCTTTGGAGCTCTTGAACTGGTTTTCAGTTTTCTAATCATCCATCATAAGACAGATATGGAATTTTTAGTCTTTCCCCCTGGCAAAAGTGTGTATTTTGTTAATGAACTATAACTTGACAGCATGACAACTATACACTTTTATACTTTCTCAAATTGTGGTCATCTCCAATTAATGGCTCATGATATACATTTGATGAATTGTACCATTGGTTTTTTTAATGAAATAAAATGGGGTAGAAAATGTCAGAGCACTTGGCAATAACTGCACATTGCAGCAAAGACTATGTCTTGTTGCCAAGAAGAATGTGAGAGACAATGGAGAGGGTATGATGAAAACATATTTTTTTTCTAGTAATTTATACTTATATCTGCATATCTTGGGTCTTTGCATGAAATATACTTCCTCCAATGGGTCATGATTAGAAGTGTGGAAAACACTAATTTTGATGTCCTGAAGACGATGAAATGAGGACAAGAATTTTTAGTAATTTTGGCCTCTAATGTATTAATTATAAACCTATGTCCTTGCCTTTTCACAGGGCATCAGTCCACACCAGATGGTCTGCCCCAGTTAGAGAGAGAAGAAAAGCTGTGGATGATGAAGATGGCAATCCAGAGAGATAACTCCTCAGGTGAGGAGGGGCTGGGGCTGCTGGACTTTTTTCTATTAGTCTTGGAGATATTCCAAGGTTGGTAAACAAAAATATGTGATGAAGGCATAGTCTAGAACAGTTTTTTCCCCCTGATAAATATCTAATCTAATTCTAATTTATTGGGTGCTTTTGGATATATGAAGATCTGTATTCATTAACCCACTTAGTTTGTTCAGGATGCTAAAACAAAATAGTACGGACTGGGGAATTTATAAACAACAGAAATTTATTTCTGACATTTCTGGGGGCTGGGAAGTCCAAGTTCAAGGCATCAGCAGATTCGATGTCTGCTGAGGGCCCACTTCCTGATCCAATGACAGCACCTTCTTGCTACGTCCTTAAATGGAAGGGGCAAGAAATCTCTCTCAGGCCTCTTTTATAAGGGCACTAATCCTATTCATGAAAGATCTGCCCTTATGACATAATCACCTTCCTAATGCCTTAGGAGTTAGGATTTCAGCATATAAATGGCAAGGGCACACACATTGAGACCATAGCACCCACATCTAATGAAAGCTTAGCTTTAGTTGTAATCAAATTGAGTATCATTTCCCCCTTGTGGCTTTCCTGTAGCCATTAATAGTGAATCTTGCTCACTTGGTGAAGAACTACTTTGTAGAATAAAGATTCTCATAGCCACTTTTGAGGCAAGTCTCTATAAAAGAAAATCACTTTACACAAGGAAAAAATAATGTTTAGAGAATAGCTTTTAAGTCTTTCCCTTTAAAAGTGTTCTTTGTGGCAACCATCCCCCTCTTCCAAAGAGAGTTACAGAAAAGAATGTTACTTCTCATTTTAGACATCCCTATTCAAATATGGTATGTATGGCAATGCCTTTATTATCTACAAAATTAGCCACTAAGCAAATAAATGTTATAGAAGATAGCCATTAAATAAACATATTCTAAAGAAGGTAGATTTTAGTTTTCTCTTCATTGTAATAAGGGGCTAACATATCATTTTCAATTAGAAACATTATAACCTGGGCAAAATAGGGAAATTGCCCTACTCAAATTGACACATTCTCAGGAAGACAAAAAAAAAGTCACATTTAAAAGTGAAAACTTGCGGCTAGGCATAGTGGCTCATGCCTGTAATCCCAGCACTTTGGGAGGCTGAGGTGGGTGGATCACCTGAGACCAGGAGTTCCAGACCAGCCTGGCCAACATGGTGAAACCCCGTCTCTACTAAAAATACAAAACTCAGTTGGGCATGGTGGCGGGCGCCTGTAATCCCAACTACTCGGGGGGCTGAGGTAGGAGAATCACTTGAACCTGGGAGGTGGAGGTTGCAGTGAGCCTAGAGCGCGCCATTTCACTGTAGCCTGGGCAACAAGAGTGAAATTCCATCTCAAAAAAAATAAATAAACATAAAAGTCAAAACTTGCAAAATATATACAGACATGACAAACTAAGTAGGCTTCAACTTAAAGGAAACACATTTATCTGTTTTCCAAGTTTCCATTATTACAATATAACTTTCTATTTGAACAATTTATTTGATTAAGAAGTTAATACCTTTCTTAATCATTTAGGCTAGGAGGTGTCAAACTTTTGAGTATGAGTTACAATAAGAAATACATTTTATATCATAAATAATATAAACATTCACATATGGGTAGATGTGTGTGTGTGTGGCCTTAAACAATAATTTATGCAGAGAAATACATTACTGCTTACAAAACACATCTAATATTTTTCTATTCTGTTAATGTTTGTCACAAGTTACTGAATTTATTTCAAACTCACTAATAGTCCTAGCCTTCAGTTTGAAAAACAATGGCGTGATCCATATAGAAAAATGTATTTACATCCATCCATTTTCATAGTCTGCTTTCAGAGACAACATTATTCCCGAGTCTCTAAATATTGACTCCTACTTGAAAAAGGAAAAATTTCAAAAACAATGAGAGAACAAAAATTTTAGAAGCAATCAATCCCTAGATACCCTGGCCACTTTTCTGCCTTACGATTTTTTTTTTTCCTAGGTAATTGTTACCATGATTCTGTGATCAGCATGATTTTCTCATCAGCACTATCCACTTAGCTTAGCCCTGCATCCAGTAAAACCTTAAAACTTCCCAGAAGAATCGCTCTTTCCAGTCCCTTTCCCATTAGGCATAGTTTACTTGAAAAAGTTCTTTCACTTTTGTAATTTGGCTCAAAGTCTCCTAGAGAAGACAAGTGGGAATTCTTTTATTCAGTACATCTATTGAACACTGTGTGTCAGGCGGAGCTCTTGGGTGATGATAAAGTGGTGAATGATATAAAATGCTTGTGCTCATGGATGGCAACATCCGTTCAACAGAGACATAAAAAATAATAAGGGACATATTTAGTTTGTCAGAGGGTAATACGTGCTTTGTCAAAACAAAACACGTGAATGGAACTTGCCAGGGGAGTGAGGTAGATGGGGAGAATTTACTATTTGATATTGAGTGGGAAAGAGGCCTCACTGGGCCGGGCATGGGGACTCACAACTGTAATCCTAACACTGTGAAAGACGGAGGCAGGTGGATAGCTTGAGCTCAGGGGCTTGAGACCAGCCTAGGCAAGATGATGAAACCCCAGCTCTACAAAAAATACAAAAATTAGCCAGGTGTGGTGGTGTGCCTCTGTAGTCCCAGCAGCTTGGGGGGATAAGGCAGGAGAATCACTTGAGCCAGGAGGTTGAGGCTGCAGCGAGCCAGGTTCACGCCACTGCACTCCAGCCTGGGTGACAGAGTGAGACCCTGTCTCAAAAAAACAAAAAGGGCCAGGCACGGTAGCTCACACTTGTAATCCCAGCACTTTGGGAGGCTGAGGCGGGTGGATCACGACATCAGGAGTTCAAAACCAGCCTGACCAACATGGTGAAACTCCCCTGGTGGTTATGGAAACTTTAATTGCTATTAGGTTTTAGAATAATGTATGTTATTACCATAAACCTCTTCTCCCAGGTGTTCTTATGGAGGATATTTCCTAGCAAGAGGTAAAGGACCACTATCTGTTTACACTTGAACTTTAGGTATGTAGGTCAGCAATCCCCAATCTTGGCATCAAGGACTGGTTTGTTGGAAGATGGTTTTTGCACAGACTGGGGGCGGGGGGATGGTTTTGAAATGAAACTGTTCTACCTCAGATCATCAGACCTCAGTTGGATTCCCAAAAGGAGCACGCAACCTAGATCCCTCACGCACACAGTTCACAATAGGATTCACGGTCCCATAAGAATCTAATGCCGCCACTGATGTGATGGGAGGTGGAGCTCAGGCAGTAATGGCCATTTGCCTCCTGCTCACCTCCTGCTGTGTGGCCCATTTCCTAACAGGCCACGGACTGGTATTGGTGCACGGCCCAGGGGTTGGGGACCCTAACTTAGGTGATAAGGTATTTTCTGAAAAATGTATGTCTTTCTAACTAGCACAGTGCCTCAAAATCTCCCAATCTTGGAATAAACTTCCAATGAAATAATCCCAGGCAAAGGTTTTTGATAATTTATGGTAGGAGTTTTGCTAGACATTTTGAACAGGGCCACTTTGTTCAGATGTCTATGCAGTAGGCAAATTTTGTGGAACCTATTCATTAGACATCTGCTATAGCAAAAAATTAGGCTTTTAGTAAGGTGCAGTTTCTTGGTAAAGATTTCTTAGGAAACATGTTTCCTGTTCTGCAACCACCACATTTTTACCTGGTAGCTCACACAGAAATTTAGTGTGATTCTAAGCAGGTCTCATTAATGTGTAGTGAATGAGAACCTGATGACTCCCTCTTGGTGTCTTGGTACATGTACATGATGATAATGAGAAACGGAACCTTCTCCTGGTTCAATGAAGCCTTAGGCTGTGGGCCTGAGTTTATAAACTTGACATCTTGGAACAAAACATTATTCACATGCTCCATCTCCAAATTTTCTTTATCCTTTTAGGAGGCAAGAATCTAAAAGAGATGGAGACTCTTCAAGAAGTAGGATTAAGGTACCCGTCTCATGAAGAATTTTTCTGCTCCCAGATCTGGCAACAGATTACAAGAGAGTTAACCAAGTATCAAGATTCTGTGGTAAACATTCAAAGAACAGGCTGTCAGTTGGAAAAACGAGATGATTTGCACTATAAAGACGAGGGATTCAGTAATCAAAGTTCCCATCTTCAAGTTCACCACAGAGTCCACACTGATGAAAAACCCTACAAAGGAGAACATTGTGTGAAAAGTTTCAGCTGGAGCCCTCATCTTCAAATTAACCGAAGGGCTAATGCAGGAGAGAAGCCCTACAAATGTGAAAAATGTGATAATGCCTTCCGTCGGTTTTCAAGTCTTCAAGCCCATCAGAGAGTCCACAGTAGAGCAAAATCATACACAGATGATGCAGCTTATAGGAGTTTTAGTCAGAGGTCACATCTTCACCATCATCAGAGAGTTCCCACTGGAGAGAATCCATACAAATATGAAGAGTGTGGGAGGAACATTGGGAAAAGCTCACATTGTCAAGCTCGTCTGATAGTTCACACGGGAGAGAAACCCTATAAATGTGAGGAGTGCGGGGTAGGCTTCAGTCAGAGATCGTATCTTCAGGTTCATCTGAAAGTTCACACTGGAAAGAAACCATATAAGTGTGAAGAGTGTGGGAAGAGCTTCAGTTGGCGTTCACGACTACAGGCTCATCAGCGAATCCACACTGGTGAGAAACCATACAAATGCAATGCTTGTGGCAAGAGCTTTAGTTACAGCTCACACCTTAACATTCATTGTAGAATCCACACAGGAGAGAAACCCTATAAATGTGAGGAGTGTGGGAAAGGTTTCAGTGTGGGTTCACACCTTCAGGCCCATCAGATAAGCCACACTGGAGAGAAACCATACAAATGTGAGGAGTGTGGGAAAGGCTTCTGCCGGGCCTCAAATCTTTTGGACCATCAAAGAGGCCATACTGGAGAGAAACCATATCAGTGTGATGCATGTGGTAAGGGCTTCAGTCGTAGCTCAGATTTTAACATTCATTTTAGAGTCCATACAGGGGAAAAACCCTATAAATGTGAGGAGTGTGGCAAAGGCTTCAGCCAGGCCTCAAATCTTCTGGCCCATCAAAGAGGCCACACTGGAGAGAAACCCTACAAATGTGGTACATGTGGGAAGGGCTTCAGTCGGAGCTCAGATCTTAATGTACACTGTAGAATCCACACAGGAGAGAAACCCTATAAATGCGAGAAGTGTGGTAAGGCCTTCAGTCAGTTCTCCAGCCTTCAGGTGCATCAGAGAGTCCACACTGGAGAGAAACCATATCAGTGTGCAGAGTGTGGGAAAGGCTTCAGTGTAGGTTCACAGCTTCAAGCCCATCAGAGGTGCCACACTGGAGAGAAACCTTATCAATGTGAGGAGTGTGGGAAGGGCTTCTGTCGGGCCTCAAATTTTCTGGCACATCGTGGAGTCCACACAGGAGAAAAACCATACCGATGTGATGTGTGTGGTAAGCGCTTCAGGCAAAGATCCTACCTTCAGGCCCACCAGAGGGTCCACACAGGAGAGAGACCATACAAATGTGAGGAATGTGGGAAAGTCTTCAGCTGGAGCTCATACCTTCAAGCCCATCAAAGAGTTCACACTGGAGAAAAACCATACAAATGTGAGGAGTGTGGGAAGGGCTTCAGTTGGAGCTCAAGTCTTATCATTCATCAGCGAGTCCATGTTGATGATGAGGGTGACAAGGACTTTCCTTCATCAGAGGATTCACACAGGAAAACTCGATAAAATATGTTTTACTATCTCAGATGGGTGCTGAAATATTTTAATTATCAGAGCTATCATAGATAAAACATTTGTTTTATAAAGTCAGTAGTTCGGCCGAGTGATTGGAAGACCACACAGCAGAGAAACCTCACAAGAGTGGAGACATATGGACTGCATTCAGAACACTGACCATTAGCTGATACATGCAGACAAGAGGATCAGGAAGGATGAGTCTGATCTGGAGTAAACCAGAAGTACTAAGATGGGAATGCTGAACGCTATTCCACTAGAATATAAGGTCCAAGAGGGTAGGGACTTTGTTGACTGCCAAATCTACTCTGCCTTTTCAGTGCCTAACACATTGTAATTTTTCAGTAATATTTGAAATTACTGTCATACTTGAAATTCAGTAATATTTGACATTTATCTCTCAAAGTTTCTCTAAAATTGTACTCAGAAGAAGAATTCTGCAATGCTTGGAAGATATATAAGTTAGTCATATGGCCTGATTTTCCCATTTTTGCAGGTCTCGTGGATGAGTGTTTATCAAACTGAAGGTTGCAGCTTGTTAGTGGGTCCAGAGATCAGTTTCTGGCTAGCAACTAGAAATTTTGTATGTTAACAGTACTTTATTGAGGTGTAATCTGCATGCAGTAACATGCACAAGTCTCAAGTTTATGGCTTCCTGAATTTTGACAAATGTAATAATCACCAAGATCCATGTATACAATGTCTATTAAACCAAAAAGTTTTCTTGTGCCCATTTCCAGTCAATCCCACCTCCAGTGCCAAGTATTATGATTTCTATACCATAAATTACTTAGGTCTGTTCCTGAGCTTCCTATGGATTTAGTATGTACTCTTATATCTAGATTCTTATGATCAAATGTATGATGATCTCAGTAGATTCAGAGAAAACATTCCACTCATGATGAAAAAATTTTTCATAAAAGGCATCCATGAAAATCATACAAGCTAACCTTATTTTTTTACAGATGAGGGAATAATTTATATACAGTGAAACTGACTTTTTTTTACATTATTAGGGAATAATTTATATACAGTGAAACTGACTAGTGTATCATCATGCATTTTGGCAAGTACTGTCATATGAACACCACCATCACAATCAAGACATTCAACAGTTCTAGCACCCCCTGCCCTGAAACTTGCTTGTTCTGTTTAGTCAGTCCCTCTCCCCATCACCAGCCCTTGTCAACCACTGACTTATTTTCCATCTGTATAGTTTATATCATTACCAGAATGTCATATAAATGGAATCCTAGAGTATGTTTCCTTTGGAGTCTGGCACCTTTCACTTAATGCTTCTGAGACTCATCTGTCTTGTTGCATGTATCAGTACAGAAGTCATTTCTTTTTATTGCTGAATAGTAGTCATATGGATGTGCCAGTTTGTTTATACATTTATCACTGGTGGGATATTTGGGTTTTCAGTTTGTAGTGATTATGAAGAGAGCTGCTGTCAACATTTGCAAACAGTTTTGTGTATCCACATTTTCTTTTGTCTTAGTAAATATCTAGGAGTGGAATTGCTGGGTTGTATGGTAACAGTATATTTATGAAAAACTGACAGACTTTTCTAAAATAACTGTACCATTTTACATTCCTACTACCAGTGTATGAAAGTCCCAGTACCTTAACTTCACCAACAATTGGTATGTCAGGGTTTTGTTTTAGGATTTCAAAGGTTTTATACTGGGATTTCATTTTGGTTTAATTTACATTTCCTTAATGGCCACTGAGCATCTTTACTGCTTGTTTGCTACCCATATGCCTATTTTCTTTTGTGAAATATGTTCAAATCTTTTGTCCATTTTTTTAAAACCTGAATTGTTTGTTATTGATTTTTGAGAGTTCTTTATATGTTCTGGATAGATATCTTTGTCAGTTATGTGTTTTGCAAATATTGTATACCATTATGTGACTTGTGTTTTTATTCCATTAACAGTATTTTTCACACTAGAAATTTTTTTTTTAATGAAGTTCCTTTTTTGTCTTTGGTAGATTGTGCTTTTGGTTTCAAATAAAAGAACTCAGCCTAATCCAAGGTCACAAAGATTTTTCTCCCACTTTTTTTATCACAACTTTTATGTTTTCAGGTTTTATATTTAGGTCTATGATATATTTGAGTTAGTATTTATGTAAGATGTGAACCTTTATATAACGGAGGTCCACTATTTGCATATGAGAATCCAATTAACTATTCTTTCAGTATTGCCATGGCACCTTTATGAATCCACTAACCATACGTGTATGGGTCTTTTTCTGGCCTCAGTGCAGTTTCATTGATTTATGTGTCTATCATTTTGCCAAATATTGCACATCTTGACTTTTGTATCTGTATATAATGTCTTCAAACCAGATAGTGTGAGTCTTCCAACTCATTATTTTATTTTGTCTATCAAATTTGTTTGCCTTACCATAATTTCCAGAATCAGCTTTGTCATCTGTAAAAATAATTTGCCGGGATTTTTATTGAGATTACAATGAATATTATAGATGAGTTTGGGGACAATTGACATTTTAGCAATACTGAGAATGTTCTAAACCATATACACAGTATCTGCCTATTTGTTTAGGACTCCCTTATTTCTTCAGTAATTTGTAGTTTTAACCTACAGATCCTGCACATACTTTGTTAGATTTATACCTACACATTCCTTTTTTGGGGGTTCTAAATTAGTACTGTTTTTCAAATTTCAATTTTCAATTGTTCTTTTTCAATATATAGAAATACAGTTGATTGTTTTATGTTGACCTTGTGTCCTATGATCTTGCCAATCTTAGTTATTGGTTTAAGTAGCTGTTCTATTGATTGCTTGGGATTTTCTGTGTAGACAATCCTGTCATCTGCAAAAAAAAAAGAAGGAAAAAAAATGTGCTTTTCCCTCCCAATTTATATGCCTATTACAGCCCCTCTACTATGATATGGGGAAACTTCTTCCAAGGTTAGGTTTGAATGTCAAAAGTCCTTCCAAGATTAGGTTTGTATGTCAAAACTCCTGACAGTAGTCCTTTGGAATGATCAAAGAAAGATGATTACAGGGGTGGGAGGGCTGCCCAGAAAAAGGTCCAAAACAGAGAGGAAGAATAGTCAGTGTTCAGTCAGTTTATAAAGGGGGATGTCCTGCCAGCACAGAGTTTAAAAGAGGTGGTGGAGGGCATATGCACTGGTGGAGCAGTAAGTGAACGTTATCAGGATTGTGAGGGAGACTGGACATAGGCAAGAGATGCCTAGAGGTGGCTTGCACTAAGTCAAACTCCCAAGTTTCCTCCAATCTTAACAATTCACCCCTGATGTTTGGGTTAGCAGCAAACGCCCAGGTTTCCTGTAAATAAACTTGCATTTGAGAGAGGCCAAATATGCAAAGTTGACCCAATAAAATTAGGCCAACAACGATGATAGCTCCCTGTAAGATAATGTGGCACCAGAGGATGTTAATCCAGGCAGAAGGAGGCAGTCAGGAGAAGAAATGGGGATTCAGAAACTCTTGCTACATTTTAGTAACTGAGTAACATCGTTGACTGTTTTGGTTTGTCTATTGAATGATTCCGGAGAGCTTTCCTGTTTTTATTGACCTACACGCAGCCAGAGGTTCCCTTCAGAGGGCCACCTTGAGATGCCACTAGTTCATCTAATGCAGTATTTTATCAACTACCATGACAGCTACAGAGCTTTATCTCATTAAGGGCTTCTAAATCTTGGGCTATTTGGTATATATGGTCTGCCAGGAATTGTGACATTGTTTAGCAGCTCTAAGAACGAAGTCTGCTACAGAACTGAAAAGATCTAGACTTATGCCTATTATACCAGAGATTGTGACGAGGCCCAATTTATAATATATAAAAAGGTGGCCTGGTATCCCCTTTTATGGGAAGGGCATTCACCAGTGCATACGTGTGAGACCCTTGTACTTTCAATGGCTTTATATACTATCGTTGATAGAGGCCAGGAAAGGTGGGACTGTGAAGGGAAATTTCATGAGGAAGAACCTTGGTGAGGTTGAGGGAGTGCCTGGGGAAGTAAAGGAGCTGGAGGGTGACCAGAGAGGATGGCAACTAGATAGTAGTATGGATATCAAATACCTCCCAAGAGTGTGGAAATTAGTTGTACGAGTGGTTACCCAGATTGGGACGCCTGCTGGCAGGCCCAGCGTTGTTGGAGTTTTATTTCTTGGATGACATGTTCTGTTGCTGTTTCACATGTATTATCTGGCAAGTTGAAGAAAGTAGGATGTGGTGTCATGACGAAGGAATAGTGCAGAGTGAAGCATGGATTGCTGGACAATGGGACTCGTGCTAATGCAGTGGTGGAGGTCACTGTGGAGACCATAGGGAGTAGTTATCATGTCCAGGTCCCAAGCGTTAAGCATGAAGGGAGGTATAGTTTTAAAGGCTTTTGTGTGGGGGTCATTTCACCCAAAGGATGAAATTAAGTGGTGGGGCACCAATGGGTGTAAGTTGGCTAGTTTATAGGGCATTGGCTTACACCAAAAGGGCATCACATGAGGAGCCAATAGAATGGGACAAGGACAAATCTACTGCAGTTCCTTGATGCAGCAGAGTAGGTCATTGGCAATGGTAGGTCCCTGTGTGCTGTCATTCATCAGGGTTTGGATATACCTAGATAAGTAAGGGCCTGCCAGTAAGCTTTAGCTTCTTGCAGAGTGTGATTACATTGTGCAGGACAGGAAAATACATGACTGTAGACAGCTATATAGCAGGCAGTGTGGGAGCTTCAGTTAAGTGTAAGGTTTTATGTTAATCTGGCTAGGTGTTGGGCTGTGTTTAATGTTTGATTTAGCTGAAGGTGTCAAAGGTTGCAGTTTTACTTTTCTCTCATGTCCCTTCTTTTTCCCTCCCTGTTGTCTTTGAATTTCCCTAAGAAGTTTAAAAACAGAATCTGTGTCTTGCAGCCTTCTCAGTTTTATTATCCTGTTGTTACACAAGAATCCTATTGATATGTGGTAAAGTGTGGGGAGAGGGAAAGTGTTCTACAATCATACGATTTAATCTGTCTTTTAGTAGGCCTGAGTCCCTGGCCTGTGACCTTCAGACGCAGTTCTTAGTCTTTCTGTTTTCCCCTTAGGTGAGACAGGAAGGCTAAAGAGGGCAGGAGTTGGCATATTGCCTTTCTCCCAAGTTATATAAGTATTTGATAAAGTCATTTCCCTTGGAGAGCAGTCCTTTGTTACGTGGAACACTCTCAGTGTATTTCAAAATAGTTACTTTTATCCTCCTCCAAAACATGAGATTTTTCTTGTGTATTCACCATGAGAACCTAGTAGCATTACTGGAGGTAAATTTCATGAAAATGTGAAGCTCCCCCTAAGACTGGGTCCCTGGAAGATTTTTGAAGCTAGCCTCCAATGAATTCTCTAAATTACCAATTAAGCATTCCTACCAATAACATTGCTAATTACTTATTACCAGCTAATTAGTAACAGTTACCAACACTTAGTTACCAATTAGCTGGTAATACTTAATTAAACTGCTAATAAATATTACCAATTAGCTGGTAATACTTAATTAGCAGTGTTATTGGTAACACTTAGTTACCAATATTCTTTCCCTGCCTAAATGGTCTTACTTGATCCTGCTCCAAGTAAGCTGATCTCTATTTGCTTTTCTCTCCAGATTTAGGGCTTGTGGTTTGCCTTTTGACCTCTATTATCTGACAGATCCAGAAAAAATTAATTTCTTTAGTTTTTTGTTGTTGTGAGGATGGGAGTGATCCTCCCAGAAATCGGACTGACTTCCAGAAATTGGATTATCTGTTTTTTTTTTAAATTATTATTGTTGCGTTCTAAGAGTTTTTGTATTCTAGATACTAGTCCATTGTCATACGTATGATGGGCAAATATTGTCTCCAATTTAGTGGGTATCTTGTCACTTTCTTTATGGTATCATTTGTAGTAAAAAGGTTTAATTTTGATATACTCCTATTTATTATTTTGCTTGTGCTTTTGGTGTATCTAAAATATCACTGCCTATTCCAAACTCATGAAGATTTGCCCCTGTGTTGTCTTTGAAGAGTTTTATAGTGTTAGCTCCTATGTTTACGTCAGTGATCTGAGTTAATTTTTGTGTATGGTATAAAGTAGAATTCCAACTTCATTCTTTCTTTGCAGACAGATATCCAGTTGTCTTACCATCATTTATTGAGAAGACTATTCTTTCCCCTACTAAATGGCCATAGCACCCTTGTTGAAAATGAATTGACAATAAATGTCAGGACTTATTTCTGGACTTTGAAATCTATTCCA